AGGTCTAATCTAGGAAGTATGCTCCAGAGCACCTCCGATACCTTAGCTGAAATGCGTATAATTCTTCACTCATTAATAAGGATTACGTAATAATTGCTGTAATCGATTGCCAATATATATATTTACTAATAATATACGAATATTCAATAGTTTTCACAAATAGGTTTGGTTATATGTATATTACTTTTATATAATGTATCATTTATGCGGTAATGTCGTGTTGACATTGATAAAGGTTGATGGTGAATACATAAATTAATTAAATATCGCTTAACAATACGTCTACTTAATATGCATACGCAAGTGCAAAGTATATCGTGCAATCATTAGCACAATGACACCCGCCGAAGGTGGGAAACTTAAAACTAAACCCATATTAACTATTTCTAATCCATATGAGTAACACCTGGACACACGCATAGATAAGAACACTGGAAGTATGGGGGGGGGGAAGAAACGGCAATTAGTTTATTAGAGGATTAAAATTCTGATCTAAAAATAGATTAATATAAAAATAAATTCTTATAAATTTAATTATAAACAGACTAATTGTAAAATTGTACAAGTTATTTCATGAATAATGACTTTTATAAAAGGTGGATTAAAAAGGTGATTATTAACTTATTTGCAAAACCTTGGTCGATGCCTTTAATTAAGTTGACTGTTTTAATTAAAGAACTGTACTTTGAACCACCATTTAACCGCTAGAATCTATCAATCGTAAAGTAGTTTGTCTTCCAGCTTATTTATTGCTAATATTGAAATATCGATTTATTGAAATGAATCACGATTAGATAAATTATATATGAAGATATATTACATATACATATAAGATAATATTATATATACAATCTTGGGATAAAATCGAGTAAATGAATGTTCGATTTTACCATTACTAATACGAATAATAATCATTTCCATAATTTATTCTTTTTTTTTTCTTTCATTAGGTATCCAATGCATTGATTCACCATAATACAGAGTAATTGAATTAGCATCGAGTTGGTGGAAAATTTAAACCAAATGGACGCGATATCGTTATATGGCTGCACCCAAGGAGAAAATTGTTCATACGTGGTCAATGACTCGTTTGTTTCATTTAAAAAAATTCCTAAAGTATTTCCTCATCGATTAATATTTCTTCGATATAAATTAAAAACAATTTGTCTATTTATTTTCTTCAATTAATATGTACGGAATAGTATATTATAGTAAATAAGAGACATCAAATTTTGTTATTTATAAGAATAGTTAAAATACCAAAGCGTATCGACATGAAAAAACAAGAGCGAATTTATACATTATTCATAAAAAAGTCTATTTCAAGCGTAAAACTTTACAAATTCTGCCTGTGGATGTATATATGCATTATATATACATATACATTTAACTCTCTCGACGATTCTAAATGAAATATTTCATGAAAGTAGAGATTAAATGGAAGTAAATGAACGTTATGTATTTATTCGACTCTTTCGAATTGGATCATAATTTTGCTAACGTAGTCGTTTGACTAAACAGGGTTTTACGCTTCCTTTAATTCTTCAGCATATTTCCTTTTTTTTTTTTTGTTAGTAATAAACGCTATTATAGCTATATAGAATTTTATATATATTATGAAACAATGTATGTATTCCTATATGTATTATATAGTAGCCGACAATAGAAAATAACGAACTGTAGGTGCTTATTGTCGAAAGTTGAGCAGAATCGTGAAGCACGTGCCGATGTTAAGGAAAAAAGAGTAGACAGTATTCCCATTATACTTTTAAATACGTAAAAGAAGCGGAAAAAATAAAACTAGAAAATAAAAGAGAATAAATAACGTGTTATCGTTTACCTTGAGATTGAAAAAGAAACTTTTCTTATTTCAGTGGTTTAACGCTTTTTATCTTGCAAATATACCTTTTATCCGAATATATGGGAAAATAAATTCGTTGACTTTGAACTTCTTTTGAACGAGAAAGAAAAGGATTACAAAAATTAAAAAATAGACGTTTTCTAAGCGATCGATTGAAACAATTCAAAACCTCTTCTTACGCTTCCTTTCATCTACGTACTTATTTCTTTTTTTTTTTTAGTATCCTTTTTCTTTCCTTTTTTTTATCAGAAAAAATTTAACAGTCACGTTTGAACCTGCATGCATTTTTCGGTCCTCTTTTTATCAACAGTGCGTCAAAGAAACGCACGTGCTGTTCGGTCATATTGTAGATGAAACCGCTTAAAACACACACTTATATATATGTTATATATACATATTCGTTCATATAGATCAAAATATTCCTTTTTCCATTCGCGATATACTACTACGTTACAATATTTCAGTTCTTCATGGCAGACAACTTCAAATGATACGCGATGTACGGGAAAGTAGGAAATGTAAAGCGACAAAAGAGTAACTTCCATCTAGTGCTTTTCAAAAGCTCACGCGACAAGCACGTTCTTTTTATTTTTTATTTCTTTTTTTTCTTTTTTTTTAATTCTTCTTCTTCTTCTTCTTCTCCGTCTTCATCATCATCATCATCGTCGTCGTCGTCTTCGTCAGCTTGTATCATCTCTCTTTCATTTTTTTTCTACTCCGTAAGCTTGAACGCATGCCTTGTCACTTTACACTTTAGTTGGTCGAGAACGAGAACGTTCGTTGAAGAGTAAAATATTAATGTCGAAGCTCCCATGTTTATTATTCCATATGTATTACATATGTACATGCGTACGTGAGAGATTGCATTCCCGGATAATGCGAGAAACGGAAGTAACTTCAATTGACCTACTTTTGATTTGATTGGAAATACAGAATCGTCCTTTTCATTTTTACGATTTTCCGAGATTAAGCAGACACATTGGCGACTACTTTTTATTTGCATTCTTCCTTTCTTCCTTTTTTTTTTTTTTCAAAAAAGAACAATGTCTTTATCTTTTATCTCTGACACACAATTCTCTGCAATTTATGTTTATCTGCAATTTACGTATCGCGATTATCGTGTTCTTTTTCATTTCAAATTACATGACAAAGAATGATCATTTTCAGTTCGTAGGTTAATTCAAATTCATAACAAAATTTAACGTTCAAAACAATTTCGAAGTTATTAATCTCGCTAACGAGCCAGGAAAATATGTTTCTTCATATTGTAAATGGAACACATGAGTCAGATCATCATGAATTTTCCATACTATTCGTTTATATATCTCGTGACATTTACAAAACTAAATTAATCGTTTAATAATCGTGCAAAATAGTCACGTTGTATAGAAAAATCAGAACGAAAACAATGTTTTAGCTGACAATGCTTTTACGTATTGAAACTGTAACGAATAAATCTATGTTACCACTGTTAATGTCATTACGAGGGTGTTACAATTAGTAATTTCATGAATAACGCAAATTGAAAGAGCTATAGAAACGAATAGATATGAATGAGAGTGGGAGAGTAATGTCTCCTAGCTTGATGATATTTTAGGGATGAATACATTGTGATGGAAACAATCTGTTTGTTGGTAGGAAGAACACGTTTGTAGGTAGAAATAAATGCACTCGTTTCGAAAGCACACAAACACAGAGAGAAACGTAGTATATATATATATATGTTGAATATGGTGGAAAGTGGAGAAAAGCTGCTGGAAGGTAAATCGATACAACGGTCCACGTAGCATCCAAGACTTCGTCGGCCCTTCGTCTCTACTTCTTAGCCATCTTTTCTCTTTCTCTCTCTCTCTCTCTCTCTGTCACTTTTCTGTTCTTTTTATCTCTGTCCCTTTCATGGGACTTCTTCCAGGGAATGGAGTGGTACTTGTTCTACAAACTTTGTCACGATGGAGCTCGTTAGGGCTGTTTCTCAAAGTCTCATCGTGATCACCGACGATTCTTGTAAAACGAAGAAATTAAATGATTTTCATGAGTTAATTAACACTTTCTTTTAAATACGAGTACCAAACGTGCTTTTATCGATTAATCTCTAATTTCTCATATTTTCTTTCCTTGTTGTTTTTTATATTAATTTCTTTGTTAAACTTATGCATAATTAATTTACGTTACATCGTATAATATTATAGATGTATTTATACTAGAAATTGTTTTCTCTTGTAGACAGAAAGGGTTCTCTTTCAAAAGCATTCACTCCATTCTCCATTTTGTCGCTCATCAGTTATGCGTCGATACAAAGCGATCTCGTTATAGTGGCAAATGATCGTGATAATGTGATTGACTAGCAGGATCGAAGGGCACATTGCTGTAATTTGCTGTCGAAAATCACTGATCTGATCTCTGAAGGTCATTTCCGGTTGATCTAACGGCTTGAAAGCTTTAAAGTGCATCTAGAGTGCATCACGTTACAAACGGATTAGCCTGTGATTATAATCGGTCGTATATTAAATAATATTAAAATTGTTTAATCCTTCTTTTTTTCTTTCATTTTCTGTTTGTTTTTCTGTTCTTTATATTTCAAGAAAATTGTTGAAAAAAAAAAAAAAGTTTCAAAAGACTACAAGTTTTTTCTCCGTTATATATTAGATCGAGTTTAAAGAAAGAAAGAAAGTAGAAAACCATAACGCATTGCAACGATTCCCCCTTTTTTTTTTTAATCCTCCCCTAACTGTCCTTTTCTTTTTCCTCTTTCACTATGCAACTCTCTTTTCCCTCCCTTTTTGCCCTTTACGCAGTACTTGTCTCTCGTACTTCCTACGTTATAACGCGTTTCTTGCTCTTTTTCGGTTCTGCAATGGCCCTAAGCAACGTCTGCATTCTCTGTTACGCCTTGGTCCATTGTGAAATCGAAAGTGAGGAAAAATTCGGGAGACACATAGATAACTTCGCTTTTATAGTTCGAAAGTTTCTTTTCTCAATTTAATCCGAACAAGTTAGATAAACTTTTTAAGACGTTTTATTGACTTTTCCTTCCTTCTTTTTTTTTTTTTAATTTTTTTTTTGAATATTTTTTTTTTTTTGAGAAATTATATTGCCACACGGTTTTATATAAACTTTCATTGTATTTTTTTTATTACAGGGTGACGGTACTTGGAGTCCTACTAGGAATCCTTCAATGGGATCGAAGTATTATGTGCATATTTCTTCTATGGGAATATATATTAGGCTATCTTGTGCTTTTCATAGTCTCAATGGTGGTGGAGTTCTCGATCTGTTTCCTTGCAACGAGAGGAAGCATTTTGGATACTGCAAAAAGGGCACCAATGCAATATATACTTTATATTCGCTTATGTAAGTACTTATTAAAGAACAATATGCTTCTTTTCTGTGTTACAAGGAATGAAGAAACATCCTATCGATATCTTGGCTTTTAACACATTCGCGGTCGGATTATTTTTTCCTTTTTTAATACTAAGTACTGGCAAAAATAATGAATTATTTAAATATTATATTTAAATATATATTTATATAAATTTTTTGTTTGTTTGATATATATATATTTTTTTAATTTATATAAATATATAAAAATTTATTTTTATAAAGCTTTTAAAATTTAAAATGAGGTGAATCACGTCAGCGGCAATTAGAAATAGAACTTGAAAAGACGTGAATTCACGTCAGCGGTCGCGAATGTGTTAACATTGACATTTTTTTTTTATCTATATTTCGGAAGACGTTTTATTGAGTCGATCATATCTAAAACAGAAAGATTGATGTAATTCATTATAATTATTTACTAGCTGTTAGTCGTGTCGTATAAATCATATTTAACTTCCACTTCGATGCGATTGATTAACGCAGTAGGAGGCATATTAAGAATCGTTAAACGAAAGATTCGTAGTACGAGCCTCTTACTTTTGCCTGTATTTGGAATCTCCTAAGGGCCACGGGGCGAATATTAATAAGAGTTGGTTCTCCACCCTTCAGTCCGACGTAATAAACGATCACTCAAGAGGGGAGAAAATTTAGGCTTAGGGAGAAGGAATCGTATATGTATATATGTTTTTCTGTGTATGTGCGTGTACGTACGTTAGCTAGCTGCTATATGTAACTCAGGCATGTGGAAAGATTTGAAAAACGACGGATTTATCCTGTCTCGGTCGGTAATACATCTACGAAATATTTTTTTCATTTATTTTTTCTTTTATTTTATATTATATTTTATATTATATTTATTTAACTTGATGTTCTTATTGTTTTTCTTTCTTTTCCTTTTCTAATTCGATTATCTTTAATGCTAGTCTTAAAAATCAATCATATTTTGACATTCTTTCATTCTACTTCATAAATATTTTCGAGACCGTACTGGAATAATTTCATTTGAACTGTCCTACGAAAAGAGTGAAAGAGAGAAAGATAGTTTTGCAACATCAACGAATTTGGAACGAGTCCAGCAGTGGTCTGATGTTTCTCGAATAAAATCTCTATGGATTCGGGTAGAAAAAAAATTCGATGACCTTTCCGAGCACGTTCGACTGATTGGTAGATTCCTTATAAGGGTCACGTATCCTCACCAGCGTTTATCTTCGATTTTCTTTTTTCATTTCACGTACGAATTTTCGTGTTGTTGCGATCGTTGTAGCCTCATAGTTGTACCGATTTATTTATTTTTTTTTTTTTTTATCATTACATGATTTTTATAAGATATTTCGATAGGATTAGAAAAGATTATGAACATTTTCTTTGTATAAATGTATGCTCATATCTAGTTACCTTAGAAAAACGTAAAATTAGGTCAAATGCATTTCTTTCAAAGTCGCTTACCGTTCATTCGTTCCTTTATCGTGTCGTGTAGGATGATCTACTCTTTCTTTCTCTTTCTCTCTTTTTCTTGTCTCCTCATTCTTCTCAGCGGTAGAAATGCTTTTATCGTAAGCTCCATCGAGTTTGATGTTAGTAGAAAGCGTTGCCAATACCTTTAACTTTATCCAGCATAAAGTTACGACAAGCACATTGACGCTAGCACGTCGTTCATTTCCTTTTCAACGAACAAAGGTTTAGCCTTTGTTATTCATACAATCGTTAAATAATAAGCCTATCAACAATAATTTTTGTGCATACATGTCCTAAATACTTTCTAGCAATTTTTATCATAATATATTTATTAAATATCACGTATCATTGTTTTTCCTTGTAGTCCTCTTATTGGTAGAAGCTGGATGGTTGTGTGCAGGAGTTACCTGGATAACACGATTTTATCAATCCTGTCCCGTGGACCAAGTCAAGGACGTGATGCTGGGTAAGTTCCTTAAATCAACGAAAAATTACGTAATTTATATGTCACACATATGTCTTAATATAATTAATTATTTATATAATAAGAGGAAAAAAAATATATCGCGCCTAATAATATGCAACCTTTCATACATCGTCGGTAATTACGGCAACGAATGCCATCTATTGGTAAAAAAAATGTTTAACCCTTGTATAAGGCAACCAGTTGTTATTTATGCATATGCAAATGTGTTGCATATCGTAAGGGTTAAAAATCTTCTTACTGATAGATGGCGCTTGCCAGCACAATTATCGACGATGTTTGGAAGGATGCCAATCGAAAGGCGCGAATAACTTGGGGGGGAAAAAATTGACGAATGAACATAGCTAATTAGTAATTTTAAATAAAATAGCCAACATTATTCTGCAATACATACTTAATTAACTACGAGAATATAAAAATAATGAATAATATGAATTCTTTAAAATTGTTTGATATATCTACCACTTTTTTAATATACTTTTTATTTCATTTCTTTGTTCAGAGAATTTAAATGTATCATGAAGAGATCAAAAATGTAGATCGCTATCACGTAAAAACTCGCTAAAATATTCATGGATTCGTAGGTTTGGTGATATGCAATTGGTGTGTGTTGGCGTTTGTGATGGTAACGGTATGGTGTACGTACGACGCCGCCGGCAGATCCTGGGTGAAAATGAAGAAATATCAACGTAGCATGAGGGAGGCGGAATCGAGGGGAGGTAGATTACACTACAAACGCAGTGGTAGCAGAAGCCGAAATTGGCGACAACGGTAACTATCTCTCTCTCTCTCTCTCTCTCTCTCTATTTTACAGAAATATCCATCAGCGATATTCTGTATTTTATAGTTTTTTTTTTTTATCGAACACTGGTCACGATAGTAAATGAAATATTTGATAAATCCGTTATCGAGGAATGTAACAAGAATAAAATTAATCCGAAGAATCACAAAATAGTTTTCATCGAACAGTTTAGTTATATAGAAATCTATACTTAAAATAATATCTTATTCTTTCTCTCTTCAAGTTTTTTCATTATTTACGCTAATACTTGGAAAAGCAATCTGGCTCATATCTTTTCCAGTGACTAGACATTTCGAAGCGATCGATCGAAGCCTATATGAATATACATCATTACCCTTCCGATACGAAGATACTTGATGATATTAATAGCATAAGATAGATACATTTTTCGTTTCTATAACAGAGTTGTAGTTGCAAACATGGAAACCAAAAGAATTGATGGGTCATCACATCTACATTCACAGATTATTTTAATTTCCTTACAGAAAAGTTATACGTGCCTATCAAGATAGCTGGGACAACAGATGCAGATTGTTGTTTTGTTGTATGGGAAATTCCGATCGAAATAGAGTAAGTATTATCGTTCGTTGGAAAAAAAAAAGCAAAGGTTCAATAATTGGCTAAATAAATTTGTCTTATTTTTTTTTGTTTTCATATTCCATAGAATTCTTTCGCTGACATTGCCAAACTTTTAAGCGACTTTTTCCGTGACCTTGACGTGGTACCATCGGACGTAATAGCCGGGCTGGTGCTTTTACGAAAATTTCAGAAAATCGAAAGAGAATTGATAGTGAAACAGAAGAAAAACGACACGTATGAGTTCCTCTCAGGCGTGCCAGTAACGCCTCGTACTAAGTTTCTCTCCTTGACCGAGGACGGCGATCTGGGCCATTTCCAGTTGGCCATTCATTATATGCACTTCGCCCTCGCTGCCTACGGTTGGCCTATGTTCCTCGTTAATCATTCTACGGGACTCTGCCAGTTGTGCACGAGGTAATCCTTTCTCGAAAATCACGCACTAAGCTTTCATTATACCCGGATATTAGAAGCGACACGTGGCTTGAGAATGATCAATCCCTCCTTTAAACGATCCCAAGTAATGGAAACAGCTTTGCGATTTCTTTATGCGATGACTTATCGAAATACATATTAAGTAATTCAATGCCAAGCTGGTATTAAAAACAACCTGAACTCTGCTCCTTGGACTCTAGAGAATAATATCATGTAATGCAATAACATTTATAACGAAGTGACATTTAATTTTTCAATTTATTCAAGGTTAAGATGCACTTGCTTTCCGTGCGGCAATCATGAGGACGAAGCCACGATAGTGGAAGACAACTGTTGTCAATGTAATTATGCGGCCCTAAGGAAAATGGTCGAAGTTGGCGAAGTTGAAGTTATTTATGCTACCTTTCATGTGGACGTCGGAGAAACACCATTTTTTGTAGCACTTGATTACTCAAAAAGAAAGGTTTTACTTATTCTCCTTTTAATACTTTTTACTTATTAAATACGAATGAAGTGGCAGTAGAAACTTGGTCTTTTTAATTCACACGATGGATCTTCCTCTTTAATGATGGCCCTTTTTAAAATCGTTTAATGAGTTTCATTAAAATTTTTCTAGAAAATCTTTCCGTATATACATGTATATCACGTAACTTTTTACTTTCATTAAATTTTTATTGTTATTACTCTTGTGCTATTATCTTCTCTTGATAGTTTCACAAAACTTTAAACGTTTAAACTTTCAAATAAGTTTTATCATTAAATTCTTTTATTTATTTTGATTTTCAGGTTGTCGTTAGTATACGTGGAACGCTCAGTATGAAAGACGTTTTAACAGATTTAAATGCAGAAGGCGAAGTGTTACCATTAACTCCGCCAAAAGACGATTGGCTAGGTCACAAGGGTATGGTTCAAGCCGCAGAATACATACGCAAGAAGCTTCAAGAAGAGAACATTATCGCGCGAGCACTATCAAAGGTATTAAGCTTAAACGTGTGCAGCTTAGTTCCTTCTTACTATTGATATGAAGTTATTTTATCGTGTATGTAGCAATAAGTAGTAACAGGTTAACAGTAACACAGTATAAACACTAATTATGTTTACTTTCAACCGTTTATTTAATAGGATCCTTCGAGAGGCACCGATCATTTTGGATTGACATTGGTTGGTCATTCCCTTGGTGCAGGCACCGCTGCGATACTTGCAATTTTACTTAGACAAGAATATCCGGATTTGATATGTTTTTCTTTCGCACCACCCGGTGGATTGCTCAGTATGCCAGCTCAGCAATATTCTCAAGAATTTACGACTTCCGTAGTTGTAGGGAAGGACGTTGTACCTAGGATAGGATTACGACAGATGGAAAGTTTAAGGGCCGACCTTATAAATGCGATAAAAAGAAGCGTCGATCCCAAGGCACGTTTTATGTCCATTTTTTTTCTTTTCTTGTTTATTTCTTAAAGAAAAAAGAAGATCAAATTCTTTATATATATATATATATATATATATAGTTAAAGCCATACAATGTATTTTTAGAATTGACAAAATATCCCCATGTTTTATATCCTTTCTCCTTCTTTCTTGTTTGCTCCCCTATGAAAAAAAGAAGGAAGGAAAATCGATAGTATCAAATTTATATGTCGCATTGTACTTTTATTTCAGTGGAAAACGATAGCTTGCTCGGTAATGTGTTGCGGATGTAGCTCGACACCCACGTCGGCAGCTAATATGGAGGCTGGTGGATGTATCAGCGAGTATCAAAGAGATAAAGATCTAGCACGATCTCAAGCAATCGTACCTACGGACTCGAGTATAGCTTTGACATTACATATGCCACTTTTTCCACCTGGTAGAATTATTCACGTTGTTCGGCATCATCCTAACAAGGGCGAGTAAGTATCCAATCGTTTGCCAATTATCTTTGCCCGAGACTCTAAATAATATTTCATTGAAGGAACGATTAAGGATCGCAATTGAATTAAATATTGTCCTACCAATATAAGCGTGATTCTATCTCTTGTGTGATTTTAGTTATAAGACAAATATATCTATCATTATAGAGCTGAATATACAAATTTCAGCTCAATTCTAACGAAAGACATTCTTTTTTATTTTTAGGAAAAAGTATGAGTCACGGTGGAGGTACGTTCATTTGATTATTTTCTATTTTCAGGACTACAGTGGGTATTGCATCTTGGAGATATGTCAGTGCGCATGCATCTTCGGTCAATTCCCATAATATTGTTTTGACACGATCTATAGACAACCCCTCTCTTTCTATTGCACCATATTTGACCCTTTCGTTTCAGATTTAACGAGAGAAATTATCGTTAATATAATAATGCATGAAAGGTGAAAGGGGGGAGCAGAAAAGCATTACGATTATCAACTAACGCGTAGTAGTAATATATTTAGTTATCCATTGTGTATTTCTCTTCTGTTTCTAATAGTAATTCATTAGAAAATCTAATCTTTTAACTAAATTTTCGGAGAGTCTATTCGTTGATTGCATGATCCTTAGATAAACAGATTTTAGCATACTTTTAGTCAAGTATCGCTGTATGTGGCTTAGTCTTTAAATTATTAAAAATAATGATATATCGACGTAAAATATATATAATAAATTTAAACAAAAATGTATAAATTTACAAACATACATTTATATATATACAGGATGAATCACGAAACATGACGTTTTAAAATAACTCGTAAAATATATATTGTATGAAAACATTTTTCCTGCATAGTTAAACTATATTTGGGAACGAATGTAATGGTAAACAAAACTTTTTTTGAATGTCATTATTTAATGAGATATTAAGATCATCGGATTTTAAATAGAATGCCTAATATTTGTTGTCTGAATTCTGATAAAGAATCAAATTCTGCATAAAATAATTATTTACGTTCCGTGACTCACCGTGTATATATGTAAACGTATATTTGATTTTTAAATGTTATTAATGTTTTCAATAGAATTTGTTTAGAAAAGAAAGATAAAGATATACGTCGTATGGGATTTCAGACAGGTGTTGTCTAAACGCGAACCAGTCTACCAAGCATTGTGGGCAGGACCATGCGACTTCGACGAGGTGTTGATAAGTCCAGTGATGATACAGGACCACATGCCGGATAACATACTGAAGGCCTTGAATAAGGTAAGCCAGGCCGACTCGAGCATAGTCGGGCAGATAAAAAAAGTACAGCATTCTCCGGCTAGTCGAAGTCCCTCTGTAAAGCTGGGCCATTACGAGCCTCTGGAAGAAACTACGGACGATCCTGATATTACCAAGGAAGAAGATACTGTCCTACCTGTAGTTATCAACATCGACGATTGTAGTTCAAATCGAAAACAAGTACACTTTGCTAATCCAGATACTAATGAAAATTCTGCATCTTCTTTTGTCGTCGATGTGGAGGTATACGAACGGAAGGATACATAATAGTTTAGATTTTATTCAAATACGAAAATAATGTGCTTTACGATTGATTTTTTTTTTTTAATCATATTAACTTTTAATCGAGTATCGTTTTTATCATTATTATTATAACAGCACAATTTTTTGGAATTATATTGCATCTGTTTTTCTTTTTTTTTTCTCTCTCTCTATTTTTGCCTTTTTTTTTCTTCTTCTTCTTCTTCTTCTTGTTCTATCTGCATTCAAACTTTCTTCTTATATTATATTTCATATATTATATTAATATTTATAAGGGACAATAATATTAAAGAGTGATAGATTATTTTTAATGCATTATAGTTAAAACGTTGGTGATTTAGTTACTTTAGATACAGTACACACAATGTATGTGCGTAATTGCTATTCGTTCAATGATTAAGTTACGATTTTTCAATTGATTGTGAGTGTGTGTGTGTGTGTCTAGTCGTGCTTCCTCGTATTAAGTAAGAATATAAATCTCTTTTTGATATGTTTTTCGTAGCATTAGAATTATCCAGAATCATCCTGGTGTTGTCGTGCGTGTAAATATATTCATACATATAACATCAGTTTGTCGAATCATAGAGTAATCTTATTTATTTGATTTTTGTTTGGTAAATCGCGTATGCGCGATTGAATGCAAATTAATAAAATTTATTTAAACATTTTGCTGATAAAAAGCGCACATATACGCATCTAGTCGAATTAATGAAATCATTAGATCGCTTAACATTTTTCTAAATAGTATTTAAGGGAAAGCAATAAACAGCATGTTTTGCTTGGTAACGCATGGAATACATTTATATAATTCATACGTTTGTATATAATAATAGATTTTATATAATATATTAGTCGTTTTTTATATAATTAATTGCGCGTTTACAAATTTCGTTCATTCGTTTCGTTAAAATATCGTTTCTCTTAACTTATAGAAATTAAATTCAAAACGACCGATTTATTGCGAGTAAATAATTACAAAATGAAATAATTTAAAAATTATTTTAAACGAAATAATACTTTAGACAAAATAATTGAAAATATTTTCGAGATTGATTTGACTATTGTATAGTCTGCACTGTGTACGCTATTTTTATCAATATATTATTTATGCCATCGAAATTATAATTCTTGTTGATTCATCGAACGGAATAATTACCTCTCTAGTTCTTTTAATATTAGTATTACTCTCATTTATATTTATGTAAGATATCAACAGACAAGAAGGAAAACCATTATATATATATATATTTTTTGCGTCTTAACACCGATATTATAATTTGTATAGATTAATGTGAACAGGTCAGAAACATTTATCATCATTATTTGAATATTGCATTAACACGCTTGTAGCTCGTTAAATTGTAGACTAGTATTACATACGCTTTTTTTCTATTTAGTTTCACTATTTCTATTTTCTTTTTTTTCTTTTTTTTTTTTTTTTACTTTATTTCTTTTCTGCGTAAACACACGTATTTTCCTGTAGGAACATTCTTAGCGACTCATTATACTCAACATTTCATAACTTCTATTTATTAAATGCTTATTGAAACAAACAAATACAGATACACACATATATATATATCGTGAAGGAAATAACTTGTTATATGATCCGAATAGTTCGGAATTGTTTACACGCATAAATAATAAAAAAGCAAGGAAGGAAAACAATTTCGAGATCGATTTAGGAAAAATAAAGTTGAATTTTTGTAAATCATCTCTTGTCAGTCTATTATCTTTGGAGTAGGTTAGGTGAAAAGGATAGGATAATTTTCAATAGAAGAAGAAGGTGATAAAAACAACGGAATGACAGTGGCTTGAGGGTGTGTGGTGTGGATTAGGTGTCAGCGTGCAGAGATCGGACCGGTACCGTGCTGGATGTCAATGCACCTACCAATACACCTGCCAATGCATCTGTCAATGCGGTAGCAGATGCAACCAAGGATGCAGCCGATGGCCCAAGCTCGCGTACATCTTACCAAGTAGATGTAACAACGTACAGGAAAGCATCTAATCAACGACACGTCCTACTACACCATGAAAATACTTGGAAGACACGTGGCCGCGACGCCGACCCCAACGCCGACGCCTATGCCACCACACCCTCTTCCTGCCACGAGACAAGGTATTCAACAAACCAAACGACGTCTCATTAGATATTCGCAATTTAAATATTATATATGTTTATATTATATACATTTTTCTATCTTTTATTTCTTTTTTACTTGCCTGCACTATTTTCTATTTCTTTTCTCTTTAAATCATTTTTTGTTTTACTTCCTTCTCGCATTATTTTTCTTCGGATATTATTTTTTGTTTTTTTTTTTTTTGTATAGTTACCTTAATTATGATAATGTATTCTATCTTTATTCCATTTCTTTCTCTCATTTCTCTCTTTCTTTCTGTCTCCCTGTCTCTCTCTCTCTCTCTCTTTCTCTATCCATCTATCCATCTATTTATCTATCTATTTTCCTCTTATATTGTGTTACATAGGTATAAAGAAATTTGTTTTAATTCGAATGATTTGATTTTTGTTTTTCAATTCGACGTCTTTAAATTTCACTCAAGCGAAATACGTTCGTAATCCACGTTCGTTTCATAATTATCCTTATGCAATTTTCACATTGCACGTTTTATACAATTCACGATTATACATCATGAAAATATTCATGATCACCTTGTCGTGTATAATTCACTTTCGTATACCCTAACAATTTCTTCACGTTTCATTTTCATGTAGTTAATTATATACGAATCATTTAACTCCATGTCAATCGTTAGTTTGTATGCAGACAATTGTTATGTCTATGTGTTTATAGGGTTGCAGTAAGTAAAGGGTTTTCTTACCAAGAGACCAAGTCGTTTTTAGTTTGGATGACACTACTTACTTTCACCGAACATGCATGTTCATCACGCATAGAGTGACACGTCATATCGCCATTGCATTTTTAAGTAGAACAAATTAAAGTGAATATTATTTTAAATGAATACGAATGCTTTCAAGTGGACATGAGAATTAAAAAAATCATGCTAGGAATATGCCGGTTTCATATTCCATCATATTTCTCACGACAGTTCGTCTTTTTCGAGAAAATGTCTTTTGTCGTTTCTTCACGATAAATGATAAAGAAATATTTGGATAATTAAATATTTAACAGTTTTCGCTCTCTAGCTACGTTATTAAACAATTCACTTTTATTTGATCATACTTATATTCTTAAAAGTATTATACACAAGTGCATGTTATGGAGACATAGTACGAGCTATAGATATATCTTTTAGTTTGATTTAATCATTCGAAAGTTAGAAAATAATTAGCACTTAACAATAGCCATAGTCGAAATAGAAATTGAAGTAGATAAGAAAAATGAATAATTTTCCAATAAGATAATTAAAAAAAAAGAAAAAAAGAAAAGAAGAACAAACAAAACAGATTTATTACGCGCGATACAAAAGATATTTTTTTATTTACAGCCCGGTTTACAGCAAGTTAATCATTTTTCACGAACCAAGTTAATCATCGTAAAAAATCCGTTCATACTCCACTATCGTAACATACATACCTATCGTTTGAGCATATCATACATCAATTCTCCTACCCCCGTTTTATTATCATCACGATATCGATGTGAATCCGATTTATTTTTCAAAAACGTATGTGAATGTTATCATCCTATTGTATCCAGGATCATCTATAGTACATATAAAAGGAGAGATCATAGTGGGAGCACTCAAAAACATGTGTGTCTGTCTGTGTGTCTCTTTGTATGCGAGCGACGAAGAAAGGAAAATTTGATTTTGATCGATTTTCTTCGACCTTCGCAATAAAGAGTAAGAGAGAGAGAGAGTGAGAGAGAGAGAGAGAGAAAGAGAACACGTGAACTTTGAAAAAATAAAAAAAACAAAATAGAGGAATTCTCGCGGTCATAAAGGATAACATGGAAAAATGGCGTATGGATATGTCAGGTTGTAACAACCCTGGGACCAGCGAAGCCACAACGTTTGGCATCTGGACATGCTTCGTCTGCTGAACCATCGGAAGCTCGTGAACCTGCAGAAGTCCAGGAGCTCGAGATTGAGCAAGAGATGAGGGCACTTCTCTCACCTTCGACCCCAGTCAAATGCCAGAGCAGTAATCTAGCAGGGACCCCACCTCACAAGCTTTGCCTCGAGACGAGTTTCACATCACTACAGAGCCCTTCGGAATTCCCACAGGCTGGTCGAGAACTTAGCGTTGACTCCAGAGGAATACCATGGGAATACGTCAGCTTGGCTAGCGACTTACTCAACACACCACGACCAGACGATAGTAAATTGTAAGGATCCGACAGAAAGTCCTTATCTCGAGTGATTTCGAACCGAGGATCTTACAAAGGATCTACTCTACCTAGGATCTATGTAAACCTAATTCGCGAAACTATTTCTAATTACTTTTTGACACTTTTTCCATTGAACTTTGATTTGAAAATATAAGATTATTAGTTTTCGACTATTACATTTTTTTAGCAATCCCTGAACAGGTACGATAATCGGATAATTTAGGAATTCGATATAAACGTTGTGTTGAAAATAAAATCTTAGAGACACGAGTTTAGGAAAATTCATCTATCACGCTTTTCCGTACTTCATTGAACGCGCTTACTTCACTTCATTTTAAACACGCGACATATTACATTATCACTGCTTTCTAATCTAAACTTATTTACTCGAAGCACCCGAGTAAATCACAGCACTATTTAATCATTCCAAAATATAATCATTTACAATATTCGTAATGCAAGATAGATGATGATTAAGAACGATCGTGGGTTAAAAAAAAAAAAACATCTTTTCCATTGTTTTAGTTTTTTTTTCCTATCCTTTTTGTTGTAGACTTTATTCTGATCATTCATTTCATTCGAAGAAAGATGCTTCTTGTTTGAGAGAGTCGAATCGTTAAATAATTATCTTCTCTTTCTGCTCTTTTTCTGCCATACTTTAAAATTTGTACTCTTTCACTGATAAAGATCGAATCGTCGTGGAGATTGGGAAGATGTCTCTCGTACCGCACCCCTTGCTACTCCCGAAACATTATCAGAAACATCGAGTAATCCACCCTCACCGATACCACCACCAAGACCAATGAGACGCACACCAAAGATTCCGGGAAACTTGTCAACGGCGGCGGACGACCTCAAAAACAATCTCCATTTTGCAATGCTCTCGGCGAAGAATTACTTTCTTAGGGAGGAGAATATTGGAAGTAATAGCAGTAGTGGTAATAGTGAGGCAAGCTACGAAAGTGCCAAGAGTTTGACAACTGATCTTCCGCCGCCTGTACCAAGAAGGAGGGATTCGGTTACCATTAGAAGGTCTTTTTTGAACAACATTTCTTCGTTTAAATGCAATTGATTCATTTTGATCAGATCTTTAAAGTAATTCGTTGTAACTTCATTTCAGAGAGCAAAGGGTATGCACGGCTGCATGTTGTAGAGACGATCTATCGGAAAATTCATCTACTCGTGCATCCTCTCATTCCTCAAGAGTGTCACGTACATCTCATCACGTGCAAGTAGATTTTCCAGAAGGAGATAATGAAACGAACGGATCTAGTTTAGATTTCTTTGAGGCTAAGGTATCCCAAATATAATCTTCTCTTCCCTTCCTCAATCCTTTAAATCTTTCCAATTTCTAATCGTCCTTTTTGCAGGGCTCGTCCGGTCAACGCGACAGCAGTAACGACGTATTCCTTAGCGTTAGAAGTTCTCCAGAATGTAAAGGCTTGATGGCACCTGCCACTGATCTTGGTGCCGAATGGAAAAGAAAATTCGATGCTACTGGAATAAGCGGTGATGCATCCTTGCCTCTTCTTCGTGGTCTTTCGCCTACACCAACTACCGCACAACACAGCTCTTCGCCGTTCTTTAATGCTAAGCGAAAAAAATATGTTTATCCTATTACATTGATGGGTCGAGGTGAAAGTAGCGTCTAACGAAAAAAAAAAGAAATTAAAGGAAAGAAGCAAAATGATCGATAATTTTTACGACAACTTTTCTAGCCTAATCGAAAGTAAAGGAAAGGAATCATCGATGGCAACTGCGATTGAAATGAAGATTAAAACTTGTGCCAATATGATCGTTGTTCTCTTGGTTTGAAGTTTCAAAGTTTTTCTAGAAATACGTTTTACAAACAATTAGATTTATAAAGCAAGAGAAAATCAATTAGATTATAAGCTTAAAAAAGGTAACATTGATTTGTCGATTAAATAATCGTATGACAAATATTAATAAACGGTGTTAGACAATATTTAATCGAATCAACGATTGCAATTAAAATACTTAAAATTATTACAATTAATGATTAAGGAGATGAAAGTATTTACGGGCTAGTTCGTCAATGACGCGAGTCTATGGAGTAGCAAAATTAATGATTTGATGAATCTATGAAAAAGTTTAGTCAATGTACGAATCTACAAAGTAATTTGCCAATATACAAATTTTAACCATACAATTGTCGGATGTATAAATAAACATTGAATTATTAATTGCGAGTGACAATTAAATATTTCAACTGCAATCGTTGTAAAACAAATAATCGAATTGAATATTGATGAACACTGTGTTGATAAATCTTTATAAGCGAGGATGTGATTAAATACAGTTCGGTATTTAATTGATATCTTTATTTATTTTTATTTATTTATTTTCTATTTATTTATATAGATTTTATTTTTTTCTTGAAGTTAAGCACAATTAAAAGTCTATACGTTTAATTATTATCTATTAGGCCAAAAGATTTGATTGTTTTTTTTTAAATTATTATTTTAGGAAATGCATTATATATTATTCGCAAATTATAGTTATGGTGAGAATGTTCTATTGAAAAAGGTAATAAAAAAAAGATGCAATATGTTCGATAAAAAAAGAACAATATTTAAGATTCGTACAAAGTGAAACATCTTGGAGTTCGTGGTTAGAGAGTAAGAAAATTGTTTCGTGATTCAAATTACGCGCCATGCGTAATGCGATGACACTGGCCTATCGAGTATCGATACTCCTTGTTAGAGAATAAAAGCTAATTCATTTTGATACATTTTTAATAACAATACATTTGTCAAATAGCAGAAGAGATTATTGCATTTATATATATATATATAAATTTATATAAATTATTATAATACATCAAACAATTTTTTATGTTTCAACTCTCAATAAGATAAATATTGTTTTTCTATATTATTTTAGGTTAAAAAGTTAAAAACAAAAAATATAATCTTTTTCATCCATTAGTGATTTTTCATATTAAAGATGTTTATAAGATCAAAGAAGGGGAAAAAGAAATTAGTATACTATGATATAAAAAAAGAAATGAACATACTTCATGACACACAAGATTGATGATAAATTATCAAAGAATATAATGTTTCACAGCAAGGTTTTAAATAATTATAATTGAAACATTATACTTGTGCGTACAAAGTAAGTAGATGAAACGCGTGTAACGCATATAATTCTAGTCAATATGGAATATATTTAGAAATGTAATATTTATGGACTCAATTGAAGTCTTAATATATAAAATATCTGTAGAAAGATGCTGTGCAAAGTTGATTTTGGTGTAATGAAATATAATAATTTATAAGAAATAAAAGAGAATGAAGAGAAACACTAAATGGGCATTTGTTTGATCAGTTGGATAAATATATTTATAAAAAAATGAAAAAATACCGATTATGTTTGGTAAGTACTCCAAAAAGCTGTATTTCTGTTTTCGTTAATTTGATTTTTCGGTTTGAAATATGATAGAAAAATTTTATATAACATAATGATAAATATATTTTAAAAATAATCGATAAACAGTAGAGTATATAAACATATAAATATAAATTCAATGTATAGAATATAAATTCCTAATAATAGCTAGTATTTTATTGTATCGCTGTTGCCCATGGAGGTGTCATAGGTTGTGGATTTTGCAAATAAGACATTACAACAGCAGATATTGATAACATGAAATTGCTAAGGATATGTTTAGTACCATCACTGACTCTAGAATTGGCAAAACTAATACAAGAACAATAAAGAGCTAGCCAAGCGCACCATTTCAATCTCATCATTAAACCGCACATACTGAAGATAATTCCGAGAATATTTATATAATCTGGTATAGAATCATCCCCTGGTTGTGCTTGATTACTTGAAACCGTTGGTTTATAGCGAATTTCCTTTTCGGGACGTCGTGGATCTGACAAACTGTTCATTCTGAAATATTATTAAAGTATATATATCTACATATATGCACAGAGACAAAAACATTAGGTTATATTAAATCACAAGTGACAAACTTACATAAATATATGATATTCACAATTAAATGAAAAAGATAATGATTATTACAAATTTAAAATCAATACTTTATATATATATGTATATATTTATATATTTTATTAAAATTAAATAAATAAAATAAATTTTATCCAGTCAAAAACTCATCAGTTCTAATCGATTGTATATCGATTACACTCGATATATATAGTGCTAAGAATGATATCTCGAGAATTTAGTTTCAGTTTTTATTTCAGATGGCACTTCGATCTTTTTTTAATCTGTTGTATGGATATCTGTGTTGTTGTCTCCATAATTTGTTGTTATATAGAATGTGATATAAAAGAAGTTGATAAACTTCTGAATACTAGAAATTTGTATTAAATAAAAATAATATCTTTTTTTTTTGTTTGTCATTATTGTATTTATATATTTTTATATATAATATATAAGTAAGTATATTTGTATATAAATAAAAAAAACAATGAATATAGTGTCGTGCACCACGTGGGTTAAGAGAGGTGTTGCTGCAGCTGTTCCTGAAAAGGTTAGTTTTCTAAATAAGCTAAATATATAATAAATTATTTATATATTGTATATGTTAGGATTGGATAATAATATTAGTAGTGATAATAATTGTTATTTATAGATTGAACTAACAACAAAAGAATTAGAAGAAATTATCAAACAAACACAAGTTGCTTTGCAGTATGTATATGTGATAGTTTTTACTCGAAAAAACTTTTTTAAGAGATTACCTATTTACGTATAAGAAAAATATTATTTTTCAGAGATGATTCGGATAAAGAAGAAGAAGAAGAAGAAGTTATTAAAGATGGAACTAGTTTGGAGAAAAATAAGATTAAAAATGAGCACGGTGTGAATAATAGTTCTATGGAAGTAGATGAATATAATTTTGATAAATATGATAAAGAAAGTAAGTTTGTTATTATGAATTAAATATTATATTTCTATATTTTTGTCTTTTTACTCTATCTTTTATGAGTTCGAGTCACTTCTCTATATATATATGCACATCTTTTTACATTTATTCAATACTATTAAAAAGGTTTTTTTACCACCTCTCTGGAGCTCACACACATGGTTTTTGTTATTTTTGATGGGTCAATTATTCACTACTATAATAGTTCTTACATTGTTTGTATAATAAATATAAAAATATATTTTTTAGGTGGTGATATACATTGTAGTATTGGCAATATAGTATCATTTGGAGAAGATGGTAAAGATCCTCTTATAAAATCAGAAGAAGCAGACGATGATTCAGAAAAAGAAGATGACATTATTAAAAGTGATGATAATCTAGTTTTGGTAGGTCACGTTGACGGCGACGCCAGTATATTGGAAATATTTGGTACGTTATTTTACTAAACTTGACACAGTATAACAAAAATAATTTTATTTTAATCATTAATTTATCTTTATTCCAATGAAATAACAGTATATAATGAAGCAGAAGGTTCTTTTTATTGCCATCATGACATTCTATTACCATCTTTTCCATTATGTATCGAATGGCTTAATTTTGATCCAAGCGACGCAAAGCCAGGTAAATAGCTACAATTAATTAGACATTTTTATAATATATATTATTAATACTGATTTGAATTTTTGTTTAGCCAATTTATGCGCAATTGGAAGTATGACTTCGATAATTGAAGTTTGGGATCTTGATCTAATCGATTGTTTAGAACCAGCTTTTAAACTTGGAAGAAAACCAAGTAAAAAAAAAAAATTGACTCGTATAGGTCATAGGGATGCAGTATTAGATTTGGCATGGAATAAAAATTATACGTACTTATATTTGGATACTTGTTTATTTCTTTTATTTAAATGTATGAACATCATTAAAAAATATTTCTTTTCAGACATATATTAGCGAGTGGTTCGGTTGACCAAACTGTTTTACTGTGGGATTTAGAAAATGGCAATCCTGCAACTAAATTTAATTCTTTCAACGAAAAAGTTCAGACTCTTGAATGGCATCCATCAGAAACTCATCATCTTTTAACAGGATGTGCAGACGGGTATTTATTATTTTTACTTTATAATGAAATTTTTATTGTATTTATTATACATTTATTATACATTTATTATACATTTTTTAATTTAGATTTGCAAGGCTGTTTGATTGCAAATTAGAAAGCAATGCTAAAGAGTGGCAAACACCTGGAGAAGTAGAACGAGTTTTATGGAATCATTTTGATCCAAATTATTTTCTTGTTAGTATATATATATATACATAGTTTTGAAAATATTTTAATTGCTTTTTATTAAAAAAAAAAATTAATAATTTCATATATATAATTATATGATAAGAATTATAATATTTTTATTGTAGATTAGTACAAATAATGGTTACCTTGAATATTATGACATAAGAGAAAATTCACCAATTTGGCAAGTCAAGGCTCATGAAGCAGAAATTACAGGTATTTTTTGTTGTTTAAATAAATGGTTAACATTAAGAAATATATTCTGATCATGTCCTGTTTTTATTTCAGGGTTATCTCTTAGCTCATCATATCAAGGACTATTAGTTACTTCATCGAATGATAGCATAATCAAAGTATGGGATATTCTTGATAGCAAGGATCCATCTCTTATATGGGAAAAGAAGACTAATTTAGGTGCACTGCAATGTCTTGCAGCAAATCCAGATATTCCACTTGTATTTGCTGTTGGTGGCGACAACAAATCTCATAATTTTAAAGTTATAGATTTGTCTGAAATATCAGCTGGTATGTATTTTATCATAATTTTAATATTTAAATCATATCCATTTTTGGTTTATGTTTCATGAACATATATATATATATGTATGTATTTCTATGATGTTTTTACATATAATATTTTTCAAAATTATAACAGTCAATGATAGATTTAACAAGAAAGAAACTATACATATGGAAATGAAAGAAAACTCTGTAAAGGGTGAAAACCAAGATACAAAAGAAGAAATGATGGAAGTGACTGAAGATATGGGATCGATGGCATTAAATATGGTTAATTCGTTGGAAACTAGTAAAAAAAAAGAAAAAAAAATAAGAAATCAATAATAAATTTGGTTTGAATTTTTATATACGAGATGTAAATAATTTACCTATACTGTATATTAAATATGTACATAATACAAATATCATATAAACACACTTTTTCTACAAATTAAAATTCTACTTTCATAATTTAAGTAGGATATTTAATAAAATACCAATGTAATTAGTTTTTTCTAGGTTTTTATTCGGTTCCTCTTTTTTTTTTGTTTTTATTTACTCTAGTCTATAATATTTTTATGTGATAAGTTCTATATATTTTTCTACCACAATGAATTACACAATACTGAATTAGGGAAAGAGAGAAAGTTTATAATAATTGTAATATACCTGGGGTGGTTGTGTGTATAAGAATTATTATTTCTTTTTATTTTTGCAGATAATTTATTTGTTTCCCTGTAGTTAATATAATGTTATCCCCAACAGTAATTTGCAAGAATTAATCATTCTGTACAACAATGTAATTTCATTCTATGTTCTTTACATTTGGTAGATTTCAATTTTGTTTTTGTTTTCCTTTTCCTTCTATTTATAAATAGTTTATATTAAGAAGGCAGTTGATACTAACTTTGATTCATAACATTTCATTACCATAAAAATACAACTTACAATAATTTAATGACAAAATATGTTAATATTAACTATATGAGAATAATTGCCAAACATTATTTATTTGATAACAAAATTTGCAAAAAGAGTTTATACAATAAATATGACAAGAAAAATACTTTTGAAATATGAATTTTAAAAAAGATAAGTAAACTAAATATTAATAGCTACACCAATCAATACAATGATATATAATGAATTCGTGAAAAATTGTTCTTTATTTTACTTATATAGTATGTTAAAATTCTCAGTAAATTATTGAATATTTATATAAGTATTCACAAAAGATTTTTCATTTACTTTCACTTTAAATTGATAACTTGGATTTATCGTTATTATTTCATTTAGCGCAATAGTCTAACTAATTTAATAATGTATATGATAACTCAACATACTTAAATAATTATTATATTATTTGTGATTTTTATAAATTGTTTTTAAAATTTCATAATCGTTTTGAGTCTATAATATAATTTTTATCACGGTAGTGTAAAATGGATAAAAATAAATATAAAAATAATTATAGATCGCAGTTTATAGTGATCAAATAGTTATTAAAATCGACTGTTAATTGTTGCAATGTAATATTTTGCATTTATGTTTATAAATTTGCACGTTTATGCAAATTTCACTTTGTTATTATACAGGGTAGGTTTACTATCAGAAATTTATAGTAATTATTGAAATGTTCTATTAAAATATTTAAAAATTATTAAAAAAACCAAAAAATAAACAAACGATGTAATCTACAAATTATATAAATTATAATTAATACCAAAAAAGGCGTAACAAGTTAAACTAATAAAATATATTAAAATTATTGAGTTTAATTGCCCCAAGTCAAATATTTCGATTAAACATGAAAATATTATAATACAAAGTGTAAGCACTTCAAAATAAAATATAAGATTTCATTTATTGAGGTATAAACTACATTAAAAATAAAATAAAAATTAATTAGCTACTTCACATTCCATTTTATGCTACAGAGAAAATTAAAATTACATGATTTATACAAAGAAAAATTGTCTCAATTTTCAAGTAAAAGAAAAATAATATTTTTTCTTTAATCAAATGATTCAATAAATTGGAATGCAAAAAAGATGTGTATATATACCAGTGCCAGTTGTTTGATATATTTTTGCTCACACAAGCACATCAACTAAAACTATTCATACAATGCATAATGACATCTAATGTGTCATGAGCCCTGTTAAAAAATGTTAATAGTAATAATAATCTTGTAACATACTTTCTGGCAGTGGTTTTTTAAATTTAGTAAAAGTCTAGGACATTATTATGTTAACAATGGATATAAATTTATAATAATATCATTATCTTGAAATATGCATTCCCTGATGATGAATGAAATAAAATAACATTCTATGATACATAAACCGATTTGTTATAAGAATTGTTTAAACAAACATTAATGATCATGTAACATTCACAATTAGTAAATAAACATAAGATGATTAAGTACAATTTCTTCTTCAATCACAAGTAACTTGTCTTAAATAGTGCTGATCATTAAGAAAATAGTATTTAAAAAAACATTCCATTGATAGCATAAATGCCTGACTTATCGTGTAGCTGTAACAGATGACAAAGTTGTTGCTTTTGCCCACAAGATGTACGACTGTACATGGAAAGTGACATATAATATATTAATTATAATAATCCACACATATATGTGACATAGTATTGACCTAGGCATCAGTTCCTATATCCAGACTTCTAGAGTCTTGATTGGAATCATGCTGACTTCCGTTTTCAGAAGAAGCACTGCTGGAAATACCAGACTGATCCGAACTTTTTTTAACTTTGGGTTTATATTCAGTAATAACAACGGTAACGTTATTTACCGTTACTTCATTGGTTTGAGCCGTACTACGATCTATATTTTTAAGACGTGGTGGATGCCTACTCTTACGCCTTGGTTTATCCAGTTTGCGGTCTTTTTCTTTTCCACTGCTAGTCGTACTACCACCACTACTTCCTTCTTTTTTTCCAGGTTTTAACAGTGGCACATATTGCTGTTGCGCAACCTAAATGAAAAATTTAATAATATATTCATTGATAAAGTGATTAATTAAGATTTAATATTAAATGATAAATAATGCAAATGAAATAAGCGACCTGTTGTGCCACTAACTGAGGATTAATGCGGGGTTTCCGCGTAGAAGTTCCTTTACGGACGTCACACATGAGGCACTTAAATGCTTCCGCTGTATTTCTATACGTGCAGACACTGCAGTCCCAATAATTTTCTTCCAAAACCTTCGCCTGGCGTTTTCCGCTTCCGGAATGGTTCATTGTTCATCAAAGTCAGTCGTTAAACACTGTACTTTCTCAAAAGAGAGTTTGTCTTCTTGTTCGTGATTTCAGCCTCATTAAAAGTGATTTTGTGAACACTGAATATTCTATGACAATAAGGATGCTCAAAAAGAGCAAGAATAAAGATATGCAATAAAAATAACGAATGTCTCTAAGACAATATTGTGTGCATCAACTAAATAGGATACACAATTGTCTGATGTATGCATCCGTGTTAAATCGTCCACCTACATATCTTGGATACATGATTGTTTTGATAACGTACATGTTTGGCGTATATCTAAAACAAACATATAATAATATTAATTATGATCAATCAATTGCATTCTTAAATAGTTATAATTATTGAAAAAAAAAAAAGTTTCATTTAAGATATATAATTTGTTTGCTTACGTTCATATATCTCATATTGAAGAGATATAAAATAAATAAGATTTTGATAGTATATATTAACAAATTGGCAAAAGTAATATTTATCGACTCAACTTGTCGACTTACCAAAATGCAGTGACAAGATAATATCTTATTCTTCTCAAAATTTAAAATTACCTATTTTCTTGTTTATTGTTTTTCTATTTCTTATTACATGAAGAGGTATCACTTTTTATAAAATAGAATTGCATCTTTTTACTACTTCTATATATAATTGGAGTTTTGTGCAATTGGATAAGATCTTTCTGAGATTTAATCAATCCTTTTGACTGTTAAGAAATATTTTAAACATTCTCCTTATTAATCAAACAGATGGGAGAGAGTTGCATATAGAAGTAGCATCATTGCACATGCACAATACACTCTTTGACAGTATCGTCGATGTATCATACACACATATTATACACTATAATAGTATGCGTGTTTCAAGTTTACACATTGAAATATTCCATACCCTCGATAGGAAAAAATTGGGACAACGATCACTTTCAAAGGGTCAAAGATGAAAAGATTTGTTCACTTGGATAGATCATTATAAAAATATAAAGATGAAAGCTTTATAACTATTAAAAAAACGTTTAAATATTATGAAACTCTAAAATATTGACAAACAATTTGTAACGTTGTTTCTCTATCAACCGAACAGCGGAATCCCGAACACGGACCAAAATACTATTTCATTTGGCAACGTCGCAATAAAGCAGGCCCGTATTTGAAAAGTACTAGAACCTGTTTCTCTTTTAAATAATGTAGTTTATCTTATATTACATAGGTAATATTTCAATATTGATATTAATGATTAAATTTAAACGACACACAAACAAATCAAGTTTTTTTTTTTGTTCATCCAATTAATGTTCTCATAATTTTTCACAATTGCTAATATAATATACACATAGATACATATGTATGTTAAAAGAAAATTTAAATAATATTGAATAGAATTTATTGGAATAATAGTGAAAGTATTTTATCATTCGGAAATATGTTTAAGTTGTAAATTAAATTATTGATTTGATCTTTCGTACGCCCCTGTCACGTTTGTCGAAGAAATCGTATGCTTTTAACCGTGTGTGTCATAAGTCTCGATAATCAAACGAATTTAAGTGGGTGTTTTTTTTTTCTAATTTGCTGGATGACAAAGTATTATTAAATAATAAATACAAACAGTGTCATTAAAAACAAACAAATTTACATTTTATGCGGGATCATATTTGATGATATGGTAAGCAGATTTTTTATTAACTATTTATAATATACTTTTAAATTAGGTTACCAAGTATAAACAACAGAATTTATTTAAGTTAATTTTTTACATTTGTTATCTTTTTCATTGTTATATAAATACTTGTTATTAATTTTCTCATCTGTTTCTATTATTTGTAACGATTACTAATTTATTTAGATAATGATTAATAATTTTGTCAATAAATTTCATTATTTATATATTGTGTGAAGTAATAATATTAAATGAAACATTTATTTATTCATAGAATGTATCGGATGAAATGGAAAAATCATGGGACCGATCATGGACTACAGAAGAAATGAGAAACAAAAGACAAGAATGGAGTTTGGCAGCTGATGCAGGATTATTAAAACATCTACAACAGTTTTCTGAAGTATGATTCAAGTTAAATAACTATTTTTCTTTCAATTATATGATACACAATACAGTTTGATACTTTATTATTATTATTATTTAGAATCTGGTGTCAAAAGCTAACAAGACTCAACAAGCGATAGATTCGTTAACAACTCAATTGGGCGAGACTGCAATAATTATAGATAATTTAACCAACACTTCCTTGGCATTGGCCAATACTCAGTTTATTGAGAGTCGAGTACAAGAAGATGATATAGAAATAAAAAAAGAAGTAGAACAAGAATTACCAAAAACAGATTTTCTTACCAATATAATTGAAAGTGTTAAACAAGGTCTAAATGTAATGGATGAAAAATATAAAAGAATGGAAGTTATTGATAGCGATAGCGAGGATGAGGGTGATACAAGAGTTATGAGGTTGATATATTTTTTATAAACATGTGTATTGTAAAAAATACTAAGATGATAAATAATTTAAAACGTTTTTTTATTACAGCGTTATTTTGGGGCCAAAAGATCCATATCAAGATCGACCTTTGCCTTATGTCATTGGTTCACATAAATGGAATACTTCTAATAAAATTGGTTTAGAAAGTAGCAGCAGCGAATCTGAGCAAGTGGACGAAGAAGAGGATGACTCAGAAAGTTATCAAGATGAAGTAAGAATACAAGAATCATTTGATTCAAAAAATGGCCCAAACATAGATACCGGATTGACTTCTTCGTTAAGCGTATCAGAAAAATCAAACGATGCTTCGTATATGAATCATGGAAAATTAGACAGTATATCTCAAAATACAATGAGTTTTGCATCTGATTGTACAACACCAGTCAAGGATCCACTAAAGGTATCTTTTGTTATTTAGTGATTTAAGTTAAAGCTAATATAATAATGTATTTAACATAGTTGTAAGATATTTATGTAATTTTTAGGTGCAGGTTACTAATGAGTCACCTAACTTTGCTGAAGAATTAGCTAAGAGATTAGGCAACGTTCGACAGACTTTAAAACCTCCGATAACGAATGAATCCAGGGAACCTTCTATTAATAAATTTAAAGGTATTATCATAATGTCTTCATATATGACATAAATATATGAAAATAAAAATCACAAAATAATTCCTTAATTTTTAGACGATAATTTATTTACACCAGAAAATGATGGTATAGAAGATTTCTTTAACGATAAACCCAATAATCTATTTGAGGATAACAAAGAAATTTTGGAAGATAACGTATCGGCTAAGTTATGGCAACATCGACCTGTTTTTCAATCGAATATTATTCCACCGAGTATGGATGTTCCACCACCTATAAGTACAATATGTACGAGTAATGCATAATAGAGATAAACTTTTAACTAATCAAGTCATAATAAATCGAGTTAAGCAAATGTAATATTATTTTAGCGACGAAACCGAAATCAGCGATCGATGATTTATTCGATAAAGGAGATTCAGAAGATTCGGATGATATTTTCTCGTCGAAACAACCTGTAAAAAGGATTACGAAAGATGCTACCTCGGAGAGTAAACAAGCTGTAAATACAGAAAATGTACAAAATAAGTTCCTTGATGTTGTGATTGGCAAGACTACTAAAACTAACTGGGCAACTAGTACACCAGAGTCTAACGTTGAAGCCAATAATCTGTTCAGCGAAGAAGAAGAAGAAGATGACAATGATCTCTTTGGAACTTCTAAAAAGAATACCAGTAAGTCTATGGGAGAAACACAGAAGAATCGCGTTAACACGGAGGATAATGACAAAAAGGTAAAAGGATATTGTACGAGATGAATATTTTTGTACAGAGGTTTTATTTGTATAATTTTGTTATATTTTTATGTATCAGAAACCTGCCGGCGATTCTTTAATAATCGGTGGAGTTTTAACTTCTTCGATCGAGAATGCATTGTCAAGTAAAATACCTCGTCGTCAATCATCGGATTCATCCAGCAGCGACACAGAATCAAATTATGAAGTTGCTTTCAATAATGAACCTTTATTTGAAGATAATTCATTACAGGTTGTCCGCGATCAGAGTTCTAATATTACTGCAAGAGCAGGAAATTCAGGAAACTGGAACGTTAATCTTGAAAATAGCGAGAATAGCAGTGGTATATCGATTAAACGTCACAGTATCAGCAGTACAATGGCTCTAACAATGCCGTAAGTATTTTGTTTTCTATAAATGCATATACTGTGTTAGCATAACAGCTGTTAGTCTCGGGGAAGGAAAACTAATTATAATGGTCCCCGGAGTAATATTTAGTTAATATTAATTTTTTTTTTTATATAGCATATTTATTTTTTCTTCCATTTAGAATATAAAATAGATATTTTTCGAAATAATGTTTATTATAAAGAGAGAAAGAGGGATAGAAAAAGATTGCAAATTATTTGTTTAAAATAATATTTTCTCATCGTTACTTTTTGTTATGTCCTTTCTTGAAGACAGTACGCTAGATAAATGGCAAAGGATGATATAAAGATTAGTCATTCTCCTGTATAGTATTTCACTGAAAATGAGTAAATGTTACAGTCCAAGGCAAGCTTCTTTAGTGTAATTTAAACTGTCGTTCAGGCAATAACTATCTTAGATATACGTAAGATTTGATAAAACGGTTATATTACTCTACTGCTAAATATTTTTTTATATGATGTCATTTTCATCTTCCAATCATTTGTAAGTAATTTTTTAATAGTAGTAACATGTTAGCATGACGCATAACTATTATGGTTTACAAATGGGTCCTGCACAGCATTCCGGATAAGGTTTACTTAAATCTTCTTCTCTGTATCCAATCGTTTCTGTACAATCCCATGCTGGACAGCTAAAAAACAAAATCAATGAATTGTAAATCACACGTCATATTATTCTCATTTGTGTTGGATTTGCCTTTTTTAAATTCTATTGACCGTAATTTATTGTTAGTTTTAAGTTGAAGGCTAATGAGATAACTTTATTATCATGAATTACGTGTTAAATAAGAAACTCCAATGTGACGTAAAATGAGGTCGCAAGTCATAATAAAGATAAACAAATGTAAGTATAGCATGTAAGAGTCGAAATCACATCTTTATTAATATGAGATGTAACTTACTTGACTGCACTCAAAGCGCCGGATTCATGGCAAGTGTATGTTATACATTTACGAATATGTGTACCAGGTGGTAATGTCTCACCATCTATAATACAATCTCCTGAAACAAAATTTCATTTTGATTCGTTAATGTTCGAAAACGATTATTGGCAAAATAGACGCATCTGATTAAATTTTCACGAAGATTTTTTCTTTTTATTCGACAACGCGAGTTCATTGTATAGTCTTGTCTTTATTGATATAGTATAATTCTACTATAGTGAGTTTAAAAAGCTTATGTTATACACTATTAATTGAAGTATCTTTGATTGGTATCAGTTTAATTATTTAAGGAAACTATGACTCTTAAATAGTTTATTGAATTATATTTTTAAACATTGAAACTTTTCCAGAATTTTTATGATTAATATTCGTATGTATAATAAAAGTGTTTAATATTATTTACCTTCAACTTGCCAGAAGAAACATAGTGCAAGTAAAATTCCCCAAAGTAAAAATATAGATCTCATGTTTTCCGTAGAAAAGTGACAGATTTATCACTGATGGTTCTTTCTGAAACACTGTTAATATTATCTTAATTTCGCTCGTTCTTATATGATTTGTCGAGCTCCACAAAAAAAGTAAAATACATTTATATCATGAAAAAATGCAGTTATTTAAAAACAATAAATATATATGATCATTAAGTCATTTAAACGTTATCTTTGGATAAAGTTTCTTTCTATGTTTTTATTATTATTTTTTTTAACTTTACTTTGTGAACTCGAGGATGTAAAAAGATTTGTTTTATTATTATTATCTATAAGCGATTACGCGTACGTGTATACATTTCACTAAACTGATACTAAATTGCAAAATATATATATATATATGTATTTTATTTTTATTTATTCCGATCATTTGCAAACAAAGAAAAATGTACTTCATTAAATAACCAAATTTATTCAATTAAACATCGTTTTTAAATTCAACTCCTTGGAATAAAACAAATGAATTTATTCATTTTAATCACTGATTAATTATGGATGATACTTACCAAGCAATAATTTTCGAAAAAGGGTCAAAGTAAATGAATAAAATGTGTTTATTCACAGGAAATAGAGAAAAAAGATATGACACGTTAAAAATGTTTCAGGAAGTTTATTGCAGTATGAATTATATTTTTTTATATGGTCATATAAGGAAGCGACATTTTATATTTATATATCTCTAGTTGATCCGTGTTAAGTAAATAAGATTATGAATTGACGTTATATCTATTGTCCACTTTTGTGATAATTAAAAGATCACCTGTATATACATACGTAAATATGCATACAATGACTTATGAGATATCGGAATATTTTTTAAAATTCATTTCATAAAAAAGCAATGTATTTTGATACATGTTACTCTAGTATGATAATCGAATAGAAATATTCATTCAAATGGTATTAGTCATGTGTAATTCGTTTTTCTTTAATTTGTAATTTTTACTCACACAAATATATACACACATTAACTTTAGGATTTCTTTTTATATTTGCAGGATAGATGAGGTATCATCATCAACACGTTTAAATTCGGCAGAATTTTATCGTGAAAGAATAATCAACGATAGTCTATTCGTTGCTAACACTTTGCATCCTCCGGATGTTAATTCTACTTCGTTCAGGACGTCGAACAATCAATCGAACACGGAGCAAACAATAGGAAACATTTCTACGGATGACGTGTTTGAAAACAAGGATTTCTTAGGTCCACCACCTCTTCCTAAAGCAGATTCTAAAACGAACAAATCGAAAATTCCTTCTCTCTTCGACGATTCAGATTCGGGTGATGAACTTTTTTCTACGACTAGTTCTGGTTCAAGGTCACAAAAGAGTACAGACTTTTTAGCTACGACTCCTCAATTTCCGGATAAAAATAAATTATTGTCCAATAATAAGGGACTTTTTGACGATGATATCGACATTTTTAGTAACAAGGATTCACCGGACGTTGATATAACCGGAAATTTTTTGAAACCTTACAAGGATAACATTATTGCTTCGAAAAGATTTCAGGATATTGCATCTAATAATTTTTCGATTGACAAAACTCACAGTACGAACGTTTCAAAAGAAAGTAACATTATCAAATTACCTGCTAACTCAACAACGTCAACGAAGAAGAATAGTCTTTTCGATGATGAGGAAGATGATAATGTTGACGATTTGTTTGGAGTTAAAAAGACAGAAATCAAAAGCAAAATCGAAGACAAAATGTTTACTTCCGATCCTGAAAACGATTTATTTTCGGTGAAACCATCAACGAAGACGACAAAAGTGATGGATAAGAAAACTTTGTCTCGAGAAGAAGAAACTACTGTGGAAGATATTAAACGTCAATCTTTATTATCGAAAGATACGTCATTGGAAGGTACAGTCAACAACTTTGTAGTTACAACTAAGCAGGATAAAGGACAGGACAATCAAAAGAAGGACGCACTTTTTGAAGAGGACGATTATGAGGATTTGTTTGTTAATGATAAGAAAGAGAAGAAAAAAGTAGAAGTGGAAAGTAAAATAGAAGATAGTAAAGAATCGAATGAGATAATTTCAAAGAAAGAGTCAGTTCAAGTTGAGGTCAAATTTTCTGATAACTTTGATGATAATAATAGTACGGATGTTGATAATAAAAAACATCCACCGACAACGTTAAACATTCGTACTACTACGTCATCGTCTGCGGAAGATAATTCTCAAATGCCAAGGCGAACAACAGTATCAGGAAAGATTAAAGATTTAATGGGTAAAATGGGTGATTTGAAAATTCTTTCTCCTACTGATACACCACCATTGTGGAGAAAGAGCGAAGAGAAAACAGATGAAGAGGATGATGTTATTGATAGGGACAGCGATGATGGAGGTTGCATTGCTAAACCAATTCAAACTCCGCCAACAGGTAAGAGATAGAGAAGGAAATAGATATATATAGAGAGAGAAGAATTAATATACACATATAAATATATATTTTTTTCCAACAGAAAATACTGAACTTTCGAAACAACAGATTCGGCCAGATAGTAATGGTAACACCGAAAGTGCAATCAGTTTTGACGTACCTGCACAAGTAGAAACACTATCGACTGCCTCAAAGGTAATTATAAAATAATGATATTATTTTGTAAAATTGGTATTTCTAGTTTATTTGAAAAACAGTGAGCTTCAACATGATTGAATACAAGTCATTATTTAAATATGCTTACGTAGGTTGCTTTATTGCTTATATTTCTTGTAATATTGTCTTCTCAATAATTTATTCTGTATTCGTTTGTTTATTTTTACAGAGTCGAGTGAGAATTCAAGCAAAACGTCGACCTCAGAGTAGACATGCACGAAAATCAGCTCTCAGACAAAGTGGTTTAGATTTTGATACCGTCGATACGATTGAAAAGATTCCTCAAGGTGAAAGTTCTGTTCTTTCGAAAGAGTCGTCGAATAATTCGACGGGTCACGGAGTAGTTCCTCCAAACGATGATCGTTTGACTTTATCTTCTTCGAGTTTCGTTGATAATACTTTGCGACACGTAGAATTGAATCCTTCGACCGGTGATGATAAATCTGAGCTTGGAAGTATTAGTAAAGAAAGTTCGATAAGCGCGAACAAGAATACCTTGTTGTCTCCATCAACTGACGAAGAAGATTTGTTCGACGTACCACCAGATTTACCGGAGGACTCACAAAGGGAAGATGCATTGTTTGGAAGAGCACCAATACTTTCACCAATTCAAAATGTTTTGCCTGATAGAGAGCCAACATATGGTAGACCTTTGAGAGATACTATCATTGGTGGTAATGATGAAAATGAAGAAACTATTAGAAAAGATTCGATCAAATCTGAGCTGAGTAGTCATAATAATTCTATATCTGATACTAGTTTTGACGTGGATGATAATGAAAAGAAAATTGAAGTAAGATCGAATGAGATAGAACGTCTTACGAAATTTCAAGAGACTAGAACCGAACAAATAGACGATTCGACAGAGTCTACGAATGATGTATTTGAACAAGAGTATTTAAAAGGACCGATAGATCCTTTGCATGATAATACGTACGATCCTTTAAAAGATCCAAGTCAATTGTTTGCGTTTGTAACGAAAACTCCTTCTCCTGATAAAGGTAAAGATTTATTATTTTCGGATGATGATAGTCTATTTAGTAGTCGGTCCATCAAAACGAATAGAGAAGAATCGATAAGAAAACAGGTTTCTAATTTATTCGAGGACGATGCAAGTGGTGATCTATTTTCAGTTCCTTTACCAAAATCTGTGAAAAAGACTTTGAAAGATACCAAAATCAGTTTCTTTGATGAAGACTCGAACGATCAGAACGACGAAGATGACAGTTTGTTCGGTCCTATTGCGAAAAAGATGTCTGTTAAAAACGAAGAAGAAAAAAGTATTGTAACGGCGAAAGTTTCACAAAAGAAAATCAATCTTTTCCAAGACGATGACGAAGATGACGATAACGATGCCACAAGTTTGTTCGCAGAACAACAACAATCAGTACAAACGCCAAAAGTCGAATTATCCAAAGTTCCTCAAGAATCAGGAAAACTTGAAAGTATTTTGTCCGTTGATGACAAGCCTGTTAACAAACCTTCCAAATTGGCCGACATATTTGGCGATCAATCGAGTACCGAAGACGATATATTTACTTCTATAAAACCAGTATCAAAAAAGATAATACAGAACAAGTCATTGTTCGCGGCTGATAGTGACGATGATGATAGTCAATTTTTCGGTAAATCATCATCTTTGGTAGAATCCACACCAAATGAAAGTAGACCAATCGTTAAAAAATCTGTCACGCGAGACCTTAAAAAAACAGCCGAAAAGATAGTCGAAGATCCTTTAAGTATATTTAAAGATGATTAAAATTTTATTTATTCGTAAGTGTATATTTATCACATTTTTTTAAAACAATTTAAAAATTTTTTTTTTATATGCTTTTGTTGTCGTCCTTCAACTTTTAAACTGATAGATGTGAAAATTCGACAGCATAAACATTAAAAAAAAATAAAGATAATATAATATAATATAATATAATATAATATAATATAATATAATATAATAATAATATAATAATAATATAAAATAATAATATAATACACAATATAATATAATATATATATACACATCTACACAACAGTAAATATGTATAAAATCTTTTTTTTAAAGTCCATTCAATATTTTAATTGATAGAACAAAATGCAGAGCGCTGTAATACTGGGCAATAATCCAATAATTGTGTGCAAAGAGAGAATGTTTTCTATTTCTAGATAAACTTTAATTATGTTGATTTGGATAAATTTTTTAACAGAATGATTGCTTTCGAAATAATGTATTCGAAAGAACTATTGTAGAATATTTTTTCACCTTAGATATTTAGCGTACGGAGATAATAAATATTGTATTTTTTCGATTTAACAATCATCACAAAAACTTTTATAAAAATATTGTTTTTATCAAATATCAATAACAACGAAGGATGCAAAACTATTAAAAATATATAGAAAAAATTAATATTTGTTTTAACAGTTTAGAATAGAGGAACAGTACATAATTGTTGAAATAGCAAAATAGTACATGACAGCAAACATTATATATTTTCTGTACCAATATCTATTTATAGCAAGTCTATATACATACTTGTTCATTATCCTTGTGCTTTATTTTATCATTCCATTTAGGTTTTAATGTGCGTTTAAAAAAGATAATAATTTTTTGGCGATCCAGTTTGTCATACATATTTTAAAAGTGACTTTTAAAATATTATTATTATTATTATTATTAGATAATAAACTATTATATTTAAATATGCGTGCTTTTTAACACTAAACGTAAGTGTTATAAAGGCAATGACTAAATTTGTAATAATTAAAAAACAGCAAGGATTCTTTAAAATTAATAAATATCGATATCCATTTCCGTGTGAAAATATACGATGAGTGCAGTCGTCAATGTAAGTAAATATTTCGTAGTATTTTATTGATTACAGAAGTAAAAGTTAAAAAAAAAAATATACACGTTTAGAAAAAATGTTGTTAACAAACTTCATTAGTAAAAAATTATTTATTTTCAAAATCCTTTGTGAATTCTGTAGAATGATCGATCAGTTTATGTATAATGGTCGTAACATATCTATTATACTTCACACGTATATCTTTTTAAAGTAGCAAGTGAATTAATCATATGCATAACAAGGTAAGATAATTAAAATGAAATATTTATAAACAGATTAGGATTATTTAGTTAAGTTGTTCTATCATAAATTAATGTTTTTACATTATGGTTTATATACAAAATCTTTTGCAAATAGTTCGAAATAAGAACTGTACGAATACTTATTGCTCATATCTTTCTATCGATTTTTTCGTTTTTCTTGTCAATTTTTTGGCGGGCCAAAATCACACTTCTTAATAATATTTAAAATGCAAGCATAGACACTTCGCAATTATATTGTGTGTTGGAACAAGTCGCATTAATTTGGTAAAACTTAATATATTAGCCAAAATACCATATTTGAAATTTTTCCGCCTTTCGATTTATCGACCAATCGTTTAAAATACTTCTCAAATCTATCAAGAGAGAGCGCCACTTATTAGTGAATTGTGGTCTCGTATATATGGATTTTATTTAAATAGTTTTTTTAATTTTCTTTAGTATAAGATCGTTTACATTTATAGCGAATGGAAACATAAAAGGTAATTTAATTAAATGTATCATTAAACGTGAAATTATTTTTCTAAAATCATTTTCATTTAAATATTTTTCCAAGTTATTGCAACAAATGAATCTGTGTATTAAATAGATTATATATTTTGAATAACAAACATTCCATCGACGAATAATTTTTATAGGAAATCATCGCTGAGTATAATAAAGAAAAAAAAGTAATAATAATAATAATAATAATAATAATAAAAGAATGAAATAAATAAGAGGCTATAAGAATATACTAAATAATTAGTCGTGCATACGAATCGAATCGCCGTTTAAGATAATTTTAGGTTGTCAATATCGAAGGTTCTCGACGCGAATGCGCGGAATCGAGAAGAGCCGTCTGTGCCTTTGAGGAAGATCGCGAAAAAATGATCGTACCGCTTGCGTACCTGCTACGTTCTTCGACCTATCGAGGTCGCGTGTCATGACCTCGTCGTACGTGGCTCCATTACCTAAGACACCGCTTGTACCTTTAGAGTCCCGTACGTCGCTAAGATAGAAAGAGAAAGAGGAAAAGAGAGAGGATAGATTAGGATTCTCTTCCTCGTGTGCATTACTAACGTTTTATAGAGAGGTAACGTTTAGACCATCTTTGATTTTCTACTCGACAAAATCTTTCGATTCTTTATTAGAATTTTCATTTGTACGAAGGAAAGCACAAGCGTTTTCAAAGTGATTTCAAAATCAATCAATCAGTCAGTCAGTTAGTCAGATACACAGTTTAGAATTTGAACATAGAACGGCAATTATCGAAGGTGGTGCTTTCTTAAGAATATTTTTTGGATCTTGTGATAGCATTCGAACGTAGGCGTCTTTGTCTTCGTTAGACAACGGTTCTGTTTCTCTCCAAGGCGTGGCCGTTGATTTGTCTACATCCCGGTCACACCATAGAAAAAGCAAATGTTGGATCGATTCCGCTACGAAAGTCTTGGATAGTGACACCCACATCCACGGCCTTCGGCAATCTATCGATCTAGAGAAGAGAGAGAGAGAGAGAGAGAAAGATTCTTTGTTCCTTCGTCATCGAACATCACCATTTGACCTCTCTTTGCTTCTTTTTAATCTTTCTTTTATATCCATTTATATCCATATAACTATATTCACTCGACGTTTTAGCTTGTGGAGATTCGTACGGAAGATCTCGAAAAGTTTTGTTCATTAAAAAAAAAAAAAAAAAAGTAAAGGATAGAAAAAAAAGAAGACAAGAGAATATTCGCAGCTCCTGCCAGTCGCGTTGTCAGTTGCGACGGACTATCTCAGGGACAGACAGTAGGGAATCAACCGTCAGAATGACGTTCGTACATCGTTGGCTCTCGCGATGCACTCAATTTAAAAGTTTCACAATCGGATATACCGACAGCTTGTCCGAACTTTTACAGAACGAATGCCAGAATAAGGAAGAAGATTGCATTGCTAAATAGTATAGGATAAAGATAGGTAGATATTCGATAAAAACACCGCAATGCGCGAACACCATCTTTCAACCGTGTGAAATAAATCATATGAACATTAAATTGATTTAGCCGTTGTAAAGATGCAAATAATATGATTATAATGCAATACAATAATTATACATAAATATATGATATTTATTGATTTGTTTGTTTTTCTTTTTTATCACTTTTCGACTTTAAAATGTAAAATAAAATTTATTCACGAATTATGGTGGGATAGAAGATTTTTTTGTGGACAAATTTGATGAGACTCGATGATAACGCATCGATACGATCGATTGGTTAAACTGGGGAAAAAGGGAAAAAGTCTTAAGTCGTAGCCACCGGTCGGTCGGTCGGTCGGTCGGTGTTGGTTGTAATAAGAAGACGAGGAGAAGAAATACGGGAGGGCCGATATACAGGCGAACGGCCTCGCGCACCATCGAGGAGAGTTGGACGGAGGATCGAGAACCAACCGGTGATCGAGGAAGGCAGTGTACGCCCGGCTGTCGAGACGAGCGGATGGTTCTTGCTCGTGCTCTCAACACACGACACTCACCAAACGATAGATCGTGTATAGAAAATTTCTTTTTACAAAGAGATAAACAAGCATACAAACTGTCAATCATTTCAGAAGAGTAAGAAATTAGATAGATTTATATAGAGAAATAGAGAGAGAGAGAGAGGGAGAGAAAGAAAAAGCGAATGAAAGAGAGAGAGAGAGAGAATGTGAATGCAGTGATTTTCTTTAGGGATAGGAAACCGAGAGAGGGAACAAGAAAGGGAGTGAGAGAGAGATAAAGAGTTTGAAGCGCGTGGCGATCAGCTGATCTTCGGCTGTGTGCCGTCTCGACGGTTGTAAGAAAGAGAGGAGGTGGTGAATGCTCTTTGAACTCTGTTGGCAGTGGAGAGACGGAAGATGCGGCCGGAAGGTCCCCTAGGGACGTAATGTCTGGGGCGCTCGCGCCGAGAAGGAGCGCATACGTCGAGAAAGCGTCGACGCCGGCAGTCGGCGGTGGTCGGTGCTCGAAGAGCGTCGTCGCCGGCGCGGTGCGTGCTGTAAGTGGTAGTAGTGGTGGTGGTGGTGGTGGTGGTGGTAGTAGTAGTAGTAGTAGTAGTAGTGGTGGTGGTGGTGTTGCTGCTGCTGCTGCTGCTGCTGCTATTGCTGCTGCTGCTGCTGGTGCTGGTGCTGCTTCTGCTGGTGCTGGTGCTGCTGCTGG